AGAATAGCGAACAGAGATAACCATAGATTGCGTGAGTTAGGAGATTTGCTAATGGAGATCCAAGCAGCTAAGCAGGATGGTGATCTGATGCGTCTTTCCTATCTAGACGCACCACGTGGTGTAAATCCAATTATACAGAAATTGCCATTCAGCTTACAAGAAAAGTGGCTCACAGTGGGATCTAAATACAAAGAGGACTACAGGGTTTCTTTTCCACCCTTTAAGTTCCTAGTAAACTTTGTATGTCAGCAAGCTAAAATGCGCATTGATCCAAGTTTCTCCCTTACAACGGTACAGGAAGAGCCTCACAGACCAAACAAACGTGCTTTTCCCAGAGCTGTCTTGACACTTAAGACTCAGGTCTCTTCTGAGAATCCGTCAGCTGCTAGTGAACCCAAAGACAAGGTAAACCCAGCAAAACAGTGCTTTTTGCACAATAAGCCTCATCCTCTGTCCAGATGTAGAGGATTCAGGATGAAACCTATGGAAGAGAGGAAATCATTGCTTAAACAACAAGGCATATGCTTCAAATGTTGCAGCTCTATTTCACACATGGCAAGGAACTGTGATCAGGTCGTTAAGTGTTCAGAATGTGGCAGCCTTACCCACATAGCAGCACTCCATCCAGGCCCAGCACCATGGTTAATTGATCCAAAACCCCCTACATCGGAGGTTCATAAAGGGAGTGAGGACGTGTCTGTGGAATCAGAGGTTTCCTCAGCTTGTACAGAGGTATGTGGAGGCAGTCAACTCCCACGCTCATGCTCCAAGGTATGTCTTGTGAAAGTATTTCCTGAAGACCACCCAGACAAAGCAGTCAAAACATATGTGATACTAGACGATCAAAGCAACAGATCGCAGTACATTCCAGAGCCTGATCATCATGCTCCTATTCTTCTTCTGTTAGGCAGGGACATCATCAGAGTTCACAAAGCCCACAAGCAAGTGAATGGTCCATCGAATGCCCCTTTTGAGCAGAAATTAGATTTAGGATGGGTAGTTGTAGGGGATATGTGCCTTGGGAAGTTTCATAAACCTACCTTCGTCGGGGCTTACCGCACCTGCATTCTGGAGATTGGTCGACCAACATACTTCCAACCATGTCCTAACAATTATCACGTGAAAGAGAGATCTCAGTATGTATCATGCACTAAATCTCTTATAAGGGAGAGCACACCAAAATTACCAGAATGGGACGTATTCCAAAGAACTAAAGATGATGAGGAAAAAGCTTACTCTATCAAAGACCAACTTTTCCTGCATATTATGGATAGAGAGGTTTACAAAGATGAAGAAAATTCGTGGGTTGCTCCACTTCCATTTAAGCAGCCAAGACGATATCTCCCAGATCATCATTCACAAGCTGTAGAACGCCTTAATTCACTTCTACAAGCTTTCAGTAGGAAGCCAGAGATGAATGAAGACTTTATAGCCTTTATGGAAAAGCTATTTCAGAACGATCATGCGGAAATTGCCCCTGCAATCACTCCCGATGAACAGTGTTGGTATTTACCTTCTTTCGGCGAATACCATCCTAAAAAGCCATCCCAGATCAGAGTAGTCTTCGATTCGAGCGCTCCATGCAAAGGTGCATCACTCAACCAGGTTCTTTTGTCGGGTCCTGACCTCAATAACAATCTCCTTGGAGTCCTCATGCGTTTTTGCAAAGAGCCTGTTGCCTTAATGGCAGACATTCATCAAATGTTCCACTGCTTTAAAGTTCGACCTGCAGACAGGAACGACCTAAGGTTCCCTGGAGAATGAGGTCACGGAATACCGAATGAAGGTACAAGTATTTGGGAACAGTCCCTCTCCGGCAGTGGCCATTTACTGTGTTCGTCATGCAGCTCAAGAAAGAGAAGAGGAATTTCGGTCAAGACATCCAACAGTTTGTGGAGCAAGACTTTTATATGGATGATGGATTGAAATCCTTACCCTCCCCAGAGATGGCAATCAACTTGCTGAAAAGGACACAAGACATGCTGGCAGGATCCAATTTGAAGTTACATAAACTGGCTTCAAACAGCAAGGAAGTCATGAGAGCTTTCCCATCCGAGGATTACGCAGACTCACTGAAAGAATTGGATTTAGGTGTCAGTTCACTTCCTATGCAGCGCAGTCTCGGCCTACTTTGGAATTTGGACACAGACTGCTTCAACTTCCATGTTCAAAATGATAGAAGGCCTTACACTAGGCGTGGACTGCTATCAGTGATAAACAGCTTGTACGACCCACTAGGGTTTGTAGTTCCAATCACAGTTCAAGGCAAAATACTGCTAAGGAATCTGACTGAGGATACTACTGATTGGGATGCACCCTTACCTGCGAACAAGCGAGAGCTGTGGGAAATATGGAGAGATACCTTGAGAGATTTACAACATGTTCAAGTCCCAAGAAGCTATGGACCTACATCTTTGTTAGGTGCCAAGTTCATAGAGCTCTCTGTATTCTCTGACGCTTCCGAGGCAGTAATTGCAGCAGTTGCTTACCTTAAAACAGTTGACTCAGATGGTAATTGTCATACGGGGTTCGTCACAGGCAAAGCAAGGTTAGCGCCACAACCCAAGCTTACTATACCTCGTCTGGAACTCTGTGCAGCGGTTTTAGCTGTGAATATGATGGAAACCATTACAGCAGAGATTGCTGTCAGCTTCAACAAGATTACCCTCTACACAGATAGTCGGGTAGTTCTTGGTTACATCCACAATGAGAGACATAGATTCCAAGTCTATGTTAGCAATCGTGTGCAGAGAATTCGTAAAAGCACTAGTCCAGATCAGTGGTGTTACGTAAACTCAGAGCAAAATCCCGCAGATATTGCGACACGACCTATAATTCCAACCAAACTGCAACACACCATTTGGTTCAGTGGACCTGCGTTTTTGCATCACCCAAAAAACATAGATTCTCCCTAGAGAACCGTATGCACTTGTTGATCCCGATCAAGATGCAGAAGTTCGTCCATTAGTTACAGTGTTGTATACCGCTGTCTCAAACCGATTCAAACGCTTTTCCGACTGGAATCGTTTGATCAAAGGTATTGGCAAATTGATTCACATTGCGCGCTCTTACAAGCGAGATCAAAACGACAACCCTCCCTCATGCAAGGGATGGCACTGTTGTAAATTGCCCCTAAGCACTGACATAATACTTCAGAGTAAAGAAGTTGTCGTACGAGTGATACAGCAGGAGACGTATGCGGAAGAATTGCAGTGTCTCAGACAGAACAAGCCACTTCCAAAAGCTAGTACGCTTCGGATATTAGACCCTTTCATTGATCAAAGCAGATTGTTGAGAGTCGGAGGTTGTCTGATTAAAGCGGATCTAAGCTCTGAAGAGAAGAGACCTCTTATTATACCCGGTAAAGGTCATGTGGCAGCACTGCTAATTTGACATTTTCATGAGCGAACACATCATCAGGGTCGCCACTTCACAGAGGGAGCAATTAGATCTGCCGGCTATTGGATAATAGGAGGCAAAAGACGTGTGAGCAGTCTTATCCATTCCTGTGTTGTATGCCGCAGGCTCAGGAGGGGCTGTGAAACGCAAAAAATGGCGGATCTGCCCACTGACAGACTCAGTGCAGAGCCTCCCTTCACACATGTGAGACTGGATGTGTTTGGCCCCTGGTCAGTATCTGCTCGTAAGACAAGAGGCGGCCATGCAGAAAGCAAAAGATGGGCAGTGCTATTCACATGTCTAAATATCAGAGCCATTCATATAGAAGTGATTGAGTCCCTAAATACCTCCAGCTTCATTAATGCCATGAGGAGGTTTTTGGCTATCCAGGGTCCTGTGAAACAGATTCGCTCTGATAGAGGCACCAATTTCATTGGAGCTTGTAAAGATTTGCAAATTCCTTTTAATGTGGACGAAAAGGCGGTGAAACAATTCCTGTCCAATCACAGCTGTATATGGACATTCAATCCTCCGCATTCGTTGCACATGGGCGGCGCGTGGGAAAGGATGATTGGGCTTACCCGCAGGATTTTGGATTCTATGCTTCTTCAGATGACATCCTCCAAACTCACGCACAATGTACTTACCACCTTTATGGCTGAAGTCACTGCCATTATAAACAACAGACCATTGATTCCTGTATCAACCGATCCAGCAGATCCTTTCATCCTAACACCTGCCACACTACTTACCCAAAAGACCGGTACTTGCTCAGTTCCACCTGGGGACTTTGGGAAATCTGACCTGTACAAACAACAGTGGCGTATAGTGCAAAGCCTCGCGAGTACTTTCTGGGATAGATGGCGTAAACAGTACCTCATTAGCTTAAGGCTTAGGTTAAGACAGTTTCTTTATGCTCTAATTCAACAGCTCTCTGAAGTGCTCGTTCAACGGCTGTTACTTCCGCTAGCTGAGCAGTTCCTTCTATTTCATCACTTTGCGATGTGATCAGCTGTCCATTATGTTTGACTAAGTATCCCCTTCTCACTTTTCCTGCTTTTTCACTCCATCAGTGAAATATTTAGGCACATTTTCATGGTCATCGTGATATAGAGTAATTTTTTCTTCCCTTTTTAGCTTAATTCTTCTCCAATCTAATTGATTATCCCCCAAAATTAAGCTCCACTGGTCCCACCTGTGGCTATGGATGCGAGCCTGATTCATCACTAAATTTTTCTTTAACCTGGCTAGTTCTCCTGCCATGGAAAAGATGACTATGGGCTGTTCCTTAGCTATAGCTTTTAGCTGTGATAGCCTTTTCGTTACAGATGCCAGGACTCTCTCAGCTCCATTGTCTGGGTAACGTCTCATTGCTGATTCCTGTTGATGTGTCAAAAAGACAATGGGGACTTACCCTTCCCAGTTTGAGAGTGTTAGCGTGACTTCCTCCTCTTGTTCAGAGACTTGAACATGTAGAGGGAGTGTTTCGTCTCGTCTTTCGAGTGGTCCACTATCTAAGGCCATTTTAATTAATTTTAATCTGGCCTGTTCCATTTGGTTAGTCCATTGCCATTTTCCTTCTCTGGTTCCCTGATATAACACTTTTGCCTCCCTAGAATACTTAGGTATAAACTCTCTGATATAATTCAGGGTTCCTAGCAACGACTGAAGCTGTTTCCTGTTTTTAGGGGGGCCTAGCCTTCCCGTTTCCTCTAACTTAGTTCTTGTGTTTGTTGTTAGAGCTTGTGTCTTTACCAAGGTCAAATCCCAGGAAATCTACCTCATGTTTTCCCATTTCCATTTTCTTTAGACTAGGTTTCAACCCAGCCTCTGTTATTCTGTCTAGAGTCTGCTTAAGTAGTTTCAAGTGTTCTTGTTCATTAGTTGAAGATATCAGGATATCATCAATATAAACAGTAACTGGGATTCCTGATAAAAGTTTTTAACATTACGCTTTGAAATTGGTTTGACGCATTTCGATATCCTTGAGGTAATCGATTCCAAACGTAATGATCACTTCCGAAAGTAAAAGCGTTTTAATTGGCTTTCTTTTGCTAGAGGAATACTCCAAAAACTGTTTGCCAAATACATTTTTGACAGCCAGTTTCTCTCTCTGCCTATATCTCCACTTACTTCACTGCAGTTAATCAGGTATCTAATATCAGGGACTGTAACTTTATTTAAGGCCTTATAATTAGTTACTAGTCTCCAACTTCCATCCGGTTTCGGAACTGCTTGGAGAGGTGCATTCTTCTGTGCCAATTCCCCTCTTGGCAGTTTCCGGATAATTCCCTGTTCTGTCAGTTCTTTAATAGTTTCGCCAATTTCCTTCTCCACGACACTATTGATTTTATATTGCCTCTGTGGGGGAGAACTCCTCCCTGAATCACATGTTCATATTCTGATTGGACTTTTCCGCAGTCATTTTCGCTTCTTGAATAGCTATTCATATATTTTCTCCGAATTTTTTCCAGCTCCCCTTTATTACTTAATTCAGATTCTCTTACTATTCTTTCGATCTCTTTGTTCTGGTCAACTACTCCTATTTTTCCTATTCTCAAATCAACGGGGCACATTAAATTTTTGCTTCCAAGAACTACATTTATTTTCTTTTTTCTCCATACATTTTTATTCCTTTAATTACCGTCAAAATCTTCCACTGCAATTACTTCCATGAATTCATCATGGTTTTCTGTGGGTTTTACTATGTTAAAGTCGGCTCCTGTATCCACGTGGAACGTGGTTCCATCATATGTTTTGTATAACCTTTGATCAATTTCCTCTGTCTTCATTAAGGGTTTCTTAAGGGGAGCCGAAAAATCCTATTCTTCCAGAATTTCGGTATTTTTCTTTTTATTTGTATTTTTCTTGCCTTTAGCTTCCTCAATATCTGCACTGGCTTTTTCCTGCCTGTCATCTATTTTAACTCTGCCTATCTTAGCTTCGGGCCTGTTTTTCGCTCTTCCTGCTATAATTTGTGATTTCTCTTCCATGCTCAGTTTATTCCATCTTTCCGGTCTTATATAGGAACTTTTCTTTTTATTGTTTTCATTTCGATTTGTTCTAGGTCGCGACTGTTCCCTAAATCTTTTTCCTTCACAGGATATATTCTTAGGGCTGTTTCTTTCTTCCCTCTCTCCCCCTTTCTTCCATTTTTGATCTGCTCTGTGTTTAGGGTGAGATGAGGGTGTGCTCTCCATCTCATAGCAGTTATATGGCTTCTTTTCACGGCTTGACCTTGTCGGTTGGTCCTTGGGCCTTTGTGGCTTACTATTAGATTTTTCTCTGTCTGTCTGAATTATTTCTGTCTTTCTATCATATCGAATTAGAGCTTTTTCTAATTGTCTCCGGACAATAAAGAATGAATTATTTTGCTTCAATTAGAGTGTTTCTTTTTACTCCTTGAAAGATATGTTTCAAGATCCCTTCTAAGCCTTTCTCTGCGATTTCCTGACAGGCTGTCAAAGCTCCTACTGTACGCCACTTTTCTTAAAAGCGTTCCTGTTCTATCTCTTCTTTATTAGTAGGAATTAACCCTTCAAGGGTCCTAGCCAATTTTCTGCCTCCATGTAGTCCAAACTCAGCCAAAATATGCGAGTCTATTGATTCGCCAGATATTTTCATCTGCTCGCCGTAACGAACCAATTCTCTGACTTTTCCTTTTACTGTGGTATTTTTTAATTTGGCCTTTTTCAAAAGCTTCATCTCCTGATCTTTTCTCATTAATTCCTTTGTTACTCTGGATTCCATCGAATTAATCTCTGTTTGTCTAGGACAGGGGTAGGCAAGTTTGGTCTTAGAGCGCCGCAGTCCTGCAGAGTTCAGCTCCAACCCTAATCAAACACACCTGAACAAGCTAATCAATGTCTTCAGGATTACTAAGGCTATAGGCAGGTGAGTTTTTTTTTTTAGGGTCAGAGCTGAACTCTGCAGGACTGCAGCTCTCTAGGACCGAACTTGCCTACCCCTGGTCTAGGAGTGTGATGGGTGTCTGAGACTGGAATCGAACTCGGGTCTTCTAGTCAATTGAACTGCCTCTTTTACCACTGAGCTATAGTGGATGACAAATAACAGATGGACCCATGGGCAGAAGAATAACATGCAGGCTTAGATGACTGAACAAAAAGTGCTTTACTGAGGAGTCCAAGTTCAAAAGTACAACAAAAAGGAAGCCGTGCTTCCACAGAAAAAAATACAAGAAACAAAAGATGAGCAAAAGGCAAATCCAAAAACACAACAGACTTAGCTTTCTTGGTGAGGATAACACCTGCACAGTAGGCTCAAGACTGAACACAACTGAAAGAAAGAGGCATGCTTAAATAAGCAAACACAAATTAGGTAATGACCCACAGGTGGGAGGAATCAAGTCCTAATGAGTAGTAATACAATTAATTCTACAGAAGCTAGGGCCACCTAGTGGCTGGGAAAGTCATTACACGGTATAAGTGTCAGTGCCAGCTAATGGTTGGGGGGAGTCATTACAAGCTTGAGCCTTATAGGATCCCCTCCTCCAAGAACGGCTCCTGACGTTCCCCTAGCTGTGTTGTTGTCCACGGTGGTGGAACTCCCTGATGAGATCTGGGTCTAGAATATCTCGAGCTGGCACCCAAGACCACTCCTCTGGGCCATAACCCTCCCATTCCACAAGATACTGGGTTCTCCCACGGACCTGGCGAGAGTCCAGTAGTCGGCGCACGGTGTAGGCTGGCTGACCACCAATGATGCGAGGAACTGGAGGGGGTTTCCTGGCTGGGGACAAAGGAGAATAGACAACAGGTTTCAAACGGGAGATGTGAAAGGTGGGATGAATGTCAATGGACCTGGGTAGAAGAAGTCGGTAGGACACTGGGTTGATCCTTTCAAGGACTTTGAAGGGCCCGATGAAGCGAGGCGCTAATTTCCATGACTCAACGTGCAGGGGGAGATCCTTAGTAGACAGCCACACTCTCTGTCCTGGTCTAAGTGATGGTCCAATCCTACGGTGCTGGTTTGCATGCCTCTGCTGTTGTTGAGTGGCTCTTAGTAGGGCTACTCTGTGCCACGCCCGTCGACACCTTTGGACAAGTTGAGCAGCAGCTGGTACATGGACCTCGGGATCCTGTTCAGGGAACAGAGGGGGAGGAAAACTAAACTGGCATTCAAAGGGGGACATGCCTAAAGAAGAGTGGTGTAGAGTGTTGTGTGCAAATTCAGCCCAGATCAACTGAGAGCTCCAAGCAGTCTGATTGTTAGACACCAGGCATCTGAGAGTCTTTTCAATCTCCTGGTTGACTCTCTTTGTCTGTCCATTTGATTGGGGGTGAAATCCAGAGGACAGGCTAATGGATGCCCCAATTAGGTGTTCGAAAGACTTCCAGAACCGGGAGGTGAATTGTGATCCCCGGTCGGACACCATATCTTGGGGGAAGCCATGGATTCTGAAGACATGTTGCATCAACAAGTCCGCTGTCTGACCTGCTGTGGGAATCTTGGGTAATGGTATAAGATGACAAGCTTTAGAAAATCGGTCTACCACCACCAGAATTACTGTGTTAACTTGAGATCTTGGTAGACCCTTTAGTCCAATGATATGTGGGACCAGGAGCGTGTAGAGATGGGTAGTGAGTGCAGTAGGCCATGAGGGTGGGTTCTGGGTTCCTTGTTCTGGGCACACACAGCACAGGCAGCAACAAAAGCCCGAAAGTCTCGTTGCATGTTGGGCCACCAAAACCTTCTCTGGATGAGTTTCAATGTTCTTGTGCTCCCAGGATGGCCTGAAGAAAGGGAAGCATGGCCCCACTGTAACACATCAGAAAACATGAGTTAGGCACAAAAAGGCGCCCCCGGAGGGCCGTTACCTGGGTCGGGATGTTGCTGTTGGGCCCTCTTCACTGCGGTTTCGATTCCCCATTGGATTGATGCCACCACTCTGGAACTGGGTAGGATTGGTTCGGGTTTGCCCTCCACTTCTGGTGGATCAAACTGCCTTGAGAGAGCATCAGGCTTTGAGTTCTTAGAACCTGGACGGTATGAGAGGGTAAAGTCAAAGCGGTTAAAGAAGAGGGCCCAACGAGCCTGACGTGAGCACAATCTCTTGGCCTCACAGATGTAGGTGAGGTTCCTGTGGTCTGTCCAGATAAGGAATGGGTGTTTGGCACCCTCCAGCCACTGTCTCCACTCCTCAAGTGCCAACAGCTCCCAGTTACCAATGTCATAATTTCTCTCGGCTGGGGAAAGTTGATGAGAGAAGTAAGCACAAAGATGAAGTGTGTGGTCACTTCTTGCTCTCTGTGACTAGACTGCTCCTACCCCAACGTCCAAAGCATCCACCTCGACTACAAAGGGCAACTCGGGATCTGGGAGAGTCAGAATGGGTGCGGAAGTGAAGAGCTGCTTGAGTCGGTCGAATGCATGATTAGCCCTCTCAATCCACTTAAATGGGTTTGATGCCTTCTTGGTAAGAGCGGTCAGGGGTTCTGCTATAGCATTAAAGTTCCTAATGAACCTCCTATAAAAGTTGTCAAATCCCAAAATGCGTTGGACCTCTTTGACGGAGCATGGTTGGGGCCAATTTAGAACCGCCTGAATCTTGCCAGGATCCATCTGGACGTTGCCACTAGAGACAATGAATCC